AGGATATTAGGAGAACAATCTGCATTATCGACGAGAGTAGTTAGTACGAACTAGCGTGACGCTGTCTCTCTCTATGTGGTGTGTGTCGTTTTTGCGATATACAGGGTATCCCAAAAGTCCCGGACCGGTCGAATATTTAATAAACTATGTACTTTAGAAAGAAATGTTTCAGACAAAAGTTGTATGGCTTGAAGGGGGCCATCAGTAATGGTATGATTTGACCTTGGAGAGTCATTTGAAGGTGACGTAAAAGTCACCTTCAATTTCTTAAATGGAACCCTCTATATTTTATTACATATTCCTGTAGCTTATCTCGAGAGCTTTCCAAAACACTATAATAAAGTATTTCTTCATTGAGTACTTTTCGAGTTATGAGACTTGAAATCATTTCTTAATTTTGCATAAACCATAAAATATCTAGTAAAATATTTATTTTTCGATTATCTTACCTTAATATTTTTATGTACAAAATAATGAGAGGAATCAATTGGTAAAGAAAACACATAGTTGTTTAAAAAAAAAAATGTAATTGTTAATTGCAAATTACATATTTTTTTCTTAAAAACAACTATGTTTTTTTCTTTACATCAATTGATTCCTCTCATTATTTTGTACATAAAAGTATTAAGGTAAGATAATCGAAAAAAAAATGAATATTTTACAAGATATTTTACGGTTTATGTAAAATTAAGAAATGATTTCAAGCCTCATAATTCGGAAAATACTTAATGAAAACTAACTTAATTATAGTGTTTTGGAAAGCTCTCGACGTGAGCTATCAGAATATTTAATAAAAAATAGGGAGTTCCATTTAAGAAATTGACGGTGATCTTCACGTGACTTTCAAATGACTCTCTCATGTCAAATCATTGCCACTATCTGATGGCCACCTTCAAGCCATACAACTTTTGTCTAAAACATTTCTTTCTAAAGTGCATAGTTTATGAAATATTCGACCGGTCCGGGACTTTTGGGGCATCCTGTATATGTAAGCCGAGGATGTGTCAAAATAAAAGTTGCTAAAACTTATTCACGCGGGTCGTTTATTGAGTTTTCCTAAATCTCTCTTCAAACGTTATCAAGTAAGATATAGATCTAACAATAATAGCTACCTATGCTAATGACGATAATGGCTATAAATGATTCAGGTAGCAGCCACAACAAAACTCCAGAAAGCTCTAAATAAGGTAACAAATTGAATGAGTGACTGGAATATCAATTGCAATCAGCAGAAATCTATACATGTTACATTCAAACTTCGTAAAGTTGATCGCAGTAACTGTGTTCATAAACGAACAAATGATATCGCAGAGTGACTCCACAAAATATCTAGGTATGCACCTTGATGCAAGACTCTCATGAAAAAAATCCTCATTTAAATCATTAAAATAAAAGCGGAACAATTCCGTCTTAAAACTCATTAAATGTACTGGCAGATTGGACGAGGGTCCAAATTAGATCTGAATAATAAAAGACTGCTTTACACAATAATTATCAGACCAATCTGAATGTACGGGATACAGCTTTGGGATTGTCCCAAGAACTCAAACCGTTTGATAATCTAGCGTATACAGAACAATATAATACGTTCAATTACCAATGCTAGATAGTATTAATGCAATGATCATCTGTACAGGGACCTGAAATTGCAGACAGTCAATAACATCATCAAAAACTTTGCATTAGCCCACGAAATCAGATTACGTAAACATGTCAATGTGGAAGCCACTCAACTTCTTAACATATGATATGATTTAAAAAGATTAAAACGAAACAAACCAAAGGATTTAATCTTTAAACAACTCTGTACTCGTGTTAGGTAAAAGCTTGGATACTGATTCAACTCATGTTACTAACCTTTTAGTTGTATTATTTATTTAAACAGTAGTTTGAGACTGTAATAAGCATTATTAAAAAAAAAAATTCAAAGTGCTACTCCTTTAAAGAGGATTGTCCTCTCAAGTAGGTGCTCTAAGAGAGCAGCTTAAAAATTTCATCTTAAAAATTTCAAATGAAACTTGCTATCTATTTGATTGTATATTCTTGTAGTTTATATCTTGTAGTTACATCTTGTAGTCGACATTTTTTCGAAACACTAAAATATATTTTATTATTACGTCTTGAGTTATAAAAAAGTTACAATATTACCGGCATCAGCATTATGCAAAGTATACTGTAGAATTTTGTACATACGTTTTTTTTTATTTTTGATATTTTGTAAATTTTTTATTTTTATTTTTTGTTTTCTTTTCAAAGCATCTTTTTTAATTTAAATTCTACTAAACTTGAAGGAGCAATTTTATAACTTACATTAATTTTTTTAAGTGTTAAGGAGATTCATTTGTTTTTCTTTCAAATACTGAATATATAGTAGCTTTTCAAAATAAACATAAAAAATCTACACAAAATACTCATAAAAAAACAAGGAACATAAAAAATGCATGCAACCTCTATAAGTACATCTTGAGTAAAGTTAATGTATTGTAATGTTTAATCTCATAACTCAGGAAGTACTTAATGAAAAAAATATTGTTATATATTTATTATATATTTATTATAATTGTTTCAAGAAGTTTCCAACATCCAGCTCCAAGAAAATATAATCAAATATAGGGAGGTCTATGTGAAATTTTTAAATTATGGTCCTTCTAGAGCATCTCCTTAGCGAGACAACTCCCTAAAAAAAATAGCTCCTTGAAATGTTCGAAAGTATGTTTCACAGCTTTTTGTAATTTTGAATCGTTCTCGAAATATAGGGAATATTTATAGATACCCTGTGTATGTATATATAGAGAATGTCCCAGCATATAAGTAGTCATTCTTTATTATCTTAAACAGATAACAAATATGAAGAATTAAATGATTTTAACTAACCTCTAATGCTAGTGATCATTCACAGAAGTCTATCTATATTAAAGAACAGAGAAATATAAGAAATACATATTGTTTTATAACTTTTTAATGACATGCCTAACATGAAAAAAGTCAAATATCTCCAGCGATCTTAATGAACTTTAGGTATCTTGTAATCTAATTGTAAGTCAAAATAAGAAATATGTATTTTCTCTATTACTATAGCATCAATCTCTCATTATAAATTGAACTAGCAATTTATGGTTCCATTTTGTCATGATGTAGTACAAATAAATATATATATGTATATATTAGCTATGCATTAATTTTAAAAAAATTTTATTATTGTTTATGCTTTTTTAAAAATTTTAGTGCTTTCTTTATTAAATTATTATAAATTATATAATAATAGTGTCCTATTTTTGATAAAACTTGAAAAATATTTATAACATGGACATATCAATACTTTAAAAATATATTTTTCTTTCTTGCATTATAGATTTCTCAAATTATTGTTTTTGTATGTGTGATTTAAGAAAAATATTGAATTTAATATGTCTTATTATATAATAAAATAATATTTTTTATTTTTAATAACTATAATATTTATACAACAAATATATACAATTTTAATAAATTTTTTAGAGAATAATGCTTGATCCAAAAAATGTAATAATACTGTTGTGCGCAGTACTATTTTAGACTACTCTTTACTACTTTAAACTTTCCAAGGTTTTACAACTGAACAACAAAATTGAAATAAGAGAACATATGTTAAAATAAATGGATAAAAAAAATATGAAATTGAGGAGAAGAAATCATTACATTTTCAAAATCTATTTGATACATCAAAAGTATATATAATAAATAATTGCTGAAGAAATAAAAGATGAAACATATCTTATAAAAGAAATTGTATGTGTTGAGGTTTGTTGAGGATCAATAGAATATAAAAGAAATACAATTGCTATACAATTTTAGAAAAGCGGAAAAACAAAGTGTAAGTCTGAAAATGTAAAGCAGATTTTGAAAAGTTACATTACCTTGTCATTAAGATGGAAAGAACAAATACAGATTTCGCAAAAGTCATTACTTCATCATTAAAATAGGAAATCAAGATGGCAACCAATTGAATAAACTGAAAAAAATTTCTACATATATATTAAATAAATTCAATTCAAGCTACTGATAAAGGAATAATATTTATGACATTTATTTATCGACGTTGTTTGATTTATTTTCAAGAAGTTGTTTTACCCTCTTAATGGCTGAAGCACGTATAAAAAAGCACGTATCTTATTTTGACTTAGATTATACAATACATGCAAAGCTCATCAAAGTCAGAAGACACTTTCCTTGTAAGTATAAGCAGATGTCATGTTAACTGCCAATGAAAGAGTCGAAATTTAAAAACATCATAAATAAAAAATTAGTAACTAAATGCAAAATTTTCCAATGAAATTAATTTCTAAAATAATTCTGTCAAATAAATAATACATTTCATAGGATTTCTAAAATAATCTTGTTAGATTATACATTTTGTTGTATGCGTTGTGAACAATTTATTATATAACAATATTCATAATGGATTATCATATCATATTAAATGGATATTATAATGGATTATCATATCATATTAAAAAATATTCATATCTCTCCATTTTCTTATACAAATAATTTCTGTGAACAATCATTACACTCACAATAGAGTTTAATTCAACACTATTTAATTTCATGTGCATTTATTATGGTTTATTTCTTAAAATAAAGATGTTTCACATACACACATTAAATGTATGTATATATAAATATGTGTGTACACATTTGTATAATGTGTGTATGCGGATGTACACACACTATACTATATATCTTTTATACTTTCAAAATGTTTCTTCATATGATAAGGTATTAAAATATAAAATTCCATGAGTAAAAGCTTTTCAAATTATCAAATCAAAAGAACTTAACAACATCTGCCATTGGACCATTTGATTTGTCAAGGCTTACACAGACATGTCAAAATCTATTTCTGTGAATTTATACGAATCATAGCAAGTCATAGAAAGTCATAGTAAATCATGTATTATAAAGGATCTCAACTTAAATTATCAAATAATTCTAGCAATTAATAAGTTGAATTTTATTACCTGTACTCTTTCAAACTCTCCTTGAACATATTGTTGCGCTTTATTTAAAGAAGAACTACAATTCTCTACACAGTTATGAACTTTTTGTATGCTATATGTTTCATTTTCACAACATTGTGCAGCACACTTGTGCATATCTCTCTGAAATTAAGTATAATTTATATAAAAAATATGTAAAATACAAATTTATATATGTAAAATATATAAAATACAAGCTATGAAAAGCTTTATTAATTCAATAAGAATTATTAATTAATTATTATTTTCTTCATATTAAGTAAATATGGAAAAAAATATAATTTTTTATTTTCAATTTTAAGGAAAAATATTATAATTGTATATTTGTCAATAAGTAAAATATGAAAGTAATAAGTAAAATTATCACAAATTGAAATTGTCACTATAAAAATAATACATTTCTATATAATTTTCTCCATTACAATTTGAGTATATTTTAGACTCATCATGGTAAGATAAGGATATAACTTCAAATAATATGTATGTATGTATGTTGGACAGACAATTATATTTGTTTAATAAAATATATTATATAAATGTAAAACATAAATGATATAAATTAAAATATAATAACAGTTGTTGTGCAGTTTGCGTCTACTTTTTAAAATAAATATAATAATTTACAATTAATATAAAGTTTTAGTAAATAATAAATTTATTGAGGAAGACCTAGATTTATTGAGTTAAAATTTTCATATTATGAATTTAAATATTTTGAATTTAAAGAAAAAATTATTCATTAAAGAAAACTATTTCATCTAAAGTAATGAATTTACAGGTTATATTAAAATAATCCGTATATAAGAAATTTACATGGATTTTTATGTAAGATGTATGTATATATCTGTGTATTGAAATATATTCTGTAAATTACTAAAAATTAAGATATAATACATTCTATATATTGCACGCTATCTATGTGAATAGAAATCTATCTTTGCTATTTTGATTTATATACAACACAGATTTTTCACTGTTTAGCAAAGCAAAGCTTTTATGACTTTAAAGCTTATTATTTATATATATATATATATATATATATATATATATATATATAATTTTTCACATAAATTTTTCATTTACATATATTAAATTTATATAAATAAATAAAATTTCATTAAAATCGGCACAAAAATTTATATTCTGCATATTACTCTGTATATAATTTTATACATAAGTCTGTATATAATTCTCTAAATAAATCTGCGTGCAATTTTGTATATTATTAAACTTGTATATATAATTAATAAATGTTTTATATTATAAACATATTCTTTTTTAAAAATACCTGCATTTTTCGTAAATAAGTTTTATCAATTTCCTCAACTATTTTCGTCATATTATCTTCTACTCTTTTTTTTTGTTCTTCCATTTTTGTTTTATTATAAAATTATTTGTGTAAAATATACAAAATACGTAAAGCACGTGTGAAATAGAATACCAGAATCAGAATTCAACTTTAATGCTTTTAGTGCGTTCGAAAATATGTTTGGTTGGTGTTGGGAAAAAAGATAAAGTTGGCAGTATTGAAAACTCCCAGTGCTGCGTTTCGTTTCTCCCACTGGGATCACTAGGATTACAAAAATTTACTACTTGAGATATTAAAAGAGGTAAATAAGTAGTTAAATATATTTAATAATAATATGTTTAATAATATCACATACATTATTATTAATACGAACGTGTGTTTTATATTAATAATGCTATAATTATAATAAAGTGACATAATTTACCTAAAATGTGATTTAAATTCAATATTTATATATCTGGTAACAACATTTTCCAAATAATCTGTTATTTTTGGTACTATTTTCCTTTTATCTCTATTTTCGAATAAAATATTTTGTAATTCTTCATTATTATCATTATTATCACTATCTGAAGAACTACTCGAAGATTCAAAAATGATGTTTTCGAGTAAAATATATTGTTCCATAATAATAATTAGTATAATTGCAACATATTGTACAGGGGATTGCCCGATTAGACACAGTACGATTACACACAGCCAATTATATCGACCGATGCCTAGGGTAACTAGCATGATCAAGCACGATTAGCCAATCAAAGCCAGTTGTGTCCAATTGTACTGTGTCTAATCGGAAGTGTCTTATTGTACACTGCGCGACAACGATTCGTTCCGTGACCCTCTCTCGCGGGGCAAGTGGAGCGTAGAAGTGACCAATTAGCTGGCAGCGTGGCAATGGCTGATTGGTTAGAAGCTACGCTCCCCTTACCTCGCGAGAGGAACCACGGAACGAATCGTTGTCGCGCAGTGTACATACGGTACAATACAATCCTAAGGGCCTATCCAGGCAAACTTGCATAGGTGCATATGCATAACATATGACCATATGGACCAATGAGCATCGAGTATTAAATCGCTATATTGACTTACATAATATAATACTCGATGCTCATTGGTCCATATGGTCTTATGTTATGCAAATGCACCTATGCAAGTTTGTCTGGATAGGCCCTAATGATCCCAGTGGGAGAAACGAAACGCAGCACTGGGAGTTTTCAATACTGCCAACTTTATCTTTTTTCCCAACACCGACCAAACATATTTTCGAACGCACTATTTATCAGAGAAAAACCTGAGAGCGGCCACCAGCCTCGACGGGCACATTTCTCGATGCTTGACGCGCCGTCTGACAAAGTGGACGTGAACTATGTCCATTACGCTCGGTAACGAAACATGGTTTGTGTCTATGATATGGGTTCATGTCCGAACTATTCAGAGATGGACAGTCGGATAAGAACCGATCATCGTTCTGTCTTTGTCTCATCAATGACAGACCACGCGACTGCCACGCGACGAGCTTACGATTTTGCTTTCCCCTTTCTCTCGTCGCGCTTTTACGTTCTTCGTTATGATGTAATAATGAAATGATCTTCACATAATCCTAATTTTCTAAGGGTATTGGCAGACAAGTTTTCCAACTTTGTATGTTCTGTAACAAAAATACAACACATTATGAAAATTACGATTACATGCATACTTCAAGCTGACATAGCAATTGGTATACTGAATGTTTGGTAAAAAAAAATTTTTTGTCAGGCGTGTTGGTTATAATCAATTCGATAAAGTGTTACTTCATAATAGCGCGTAGCAGTGCAAGTAAGATGACTGCTTGTCACGGCGCTGACCCGAGTTTGAATCTCCCTGCTGTCGTTTTTTTTTTATTTTTATTTTATGAAATAATAAAATAACAAATAATATGTATTGAATTTGGGAGTAAAAAAGACAAAAAAATTAATAAAATAATGACAATTATTGCACAAAAACATACCTGTATTACGTATCCATGTATTGCATCTTGTATCCTTCTGCATTGGAAATCGGAATAGCCGTTTCCCATGCGAAAATCTCCCATTCTTACATTCTTTGTATACGCACTTATCATAATAACTATCTACAGGGCACTGACTCGACATAGTGATTGTTTATTATAATGCAAAACAAAAAAATATAAAAATAAAATTAAAAAAACTTAAGAGTAGAAATAAAAGAGAAATACAATACGTGATAAAAAAATAAAAAAATTACACAACCAACACGATAAAAGCATACACGCACGTACACGCAGAAATATTTACAGATAATGTGTCGTGTTCTAAAAGAAACGATAACACGTGTTGCAAAATACACAGATCTTACAGATCGTTAAAAAAAATATAAATTTAAAACAATACAAGAGATCTGTTATGCACAGATAATGAAGCACCGCAAAATCGAACGTCACTTTTAAAGCTCGCTGATTGATTATTTCCAGCGTGTCGTCGCGCATTATTTGTTTCATAGCATCAAATAGCCGCGAAATCACGACAGTGAAACGTAATTCTTTTATATGTATATTAGTAAAAGATTAAAGAATCTATTTATTGTTAATGTAAAGTTATTTTGTATATCATCATACAAAGAATTATAGTTTCACAAACTGGTTTATCTATCTTTTTATTATTATTTTCAAAATTAAATATGATTACATAAAAAATGATTACATAAAATTAATCATCCGAATTATCGATCTCATCAAGACATGAGCCAGGATGATATTTATCATAAAAATATGAAAAACATAATGTAATACAATATCTAGCGCATTGGATGTATTGTGCCGTATATGTGTGAGCAATCTTATTGAAACTTTATTTTTTTACAAGAAAATTATTCACAGCATTCGATACACTAGATGTTGTATTACATTATGTTTTTCATGTCTAACACTAACACACAAATGCATCAAAGTAAGATATCATTCGCATTGATATGTATATTTTTTTAATTAATTAATTATTTAAAAAATATATAAAATAAAATATTACTATAATAATATGAGAGTTGTAAGCATTTATGAAATACAGATATAATTATTTTAAATAGAAAGAAAAGGTTTTATTAAAAAACATTTTTAATAAATGTCTTTATAATAAATAAATAAATTTGTATCTATGTATTGGGCGCCCGAAGTCGTCTTGAAATCCTATCCGAATTATGTAAAATGTAGCGCGTGAAAGATGAGACGAGACCGACAAGGGATGGAAGGAGACATGAGCTTTACGATAGAAAATCACCGCTCGCCTCATGCCTACCGCCGCGTGATTTGCCATCATTGGTGAAACAAAAGCAGAACGATAGATTATCGGCTCTTGTCTAACTCTCATGTCCATCTCATGTGAATAGTTCGGATATGAACCATAGCTCAGATACGAACCATGTATTATTATCGACTGTAATGGATGTAGTTGACGTCCACTTTGTCAGGCGGCGCATTAGGACAATGTGCCCGTTAAAGAGAGGTGGCCGCTCTCAGGTTTCTCTCTGTATTTATAACCAGTTATAACATTCCTTAAAGCAATGATACCAATTTAAAAACCTAATCTAAAGATCTATAATCATTGAATAAAGAATACTAGAGAGAAGCCTGAGAGGGGAGCTCCAGGAACATAGCTGGCCAACTTCGATTTTTTCAATTTTTTTTATAGCGAATCATTTGTTGGTCGTTTGTTGATGATTGTTGGCCTAATTACAGCGTTTGTTGGTTTATATTTTTTTGTAAAATAAAGAAACAAAAATCAGCGTAAAGTTAGCCAGCGAAATTTCATTTTCACTTAAAAAGCGGTTCAATCGATGCGGAATCGTTTGGAGATGATTGTTGGTCTAACATTTGTTGGTTCATTATTAGCTTTAAAAACAAAAAATAAACTTTTACATTAAGGCAAAATCTACAATAGGAATAAGCCTTAAGGAATTGATCAATCACAGTTGAATGTGAAATAGTAATCGAATATAATTGGTTAATTTCTTACGACAAGGCTTTACAATCTAAACTCGGCTTAAGAGAAGGTTTATGGCCATCACACATAAAATTCCATAAGCACATAAGGGCACAAACATTGCCGTAGCGCCTTAAAGGCTTTCGCCATCCCAAACAGCACAGGACATTTATGGATATTCATTTTATGTCCATTTTACGTTCGCACGTCCATGGACATGAAATGACCATTCATCGTACATCCGATTCGGGACATCCGTTAACGGCTAATATTTGGACGTCCACAAAATGTCCGATCTTGGACGTCAAAGTTTCGCGCGAGCACGCAAGGATGTGTTAGTTCGTTTATCGCTATGCGACGTGCGATGCGCTATCTTTCTCGTATTTAAGTTTTAGTTATGAGAATTATATAAAGTTTGCAAAGAGTAACAAATAAGATTAAAAATAAACTGTTCAATTTAATTTTTGATCTCAATACAAGAGTTTCAGATATTAAATTGATTTTATAAATATTTTACAAGTAAATGTCCGGCAAATAAACGAAAATAATCCGTTTATTACCTATTTAAAATGTAAAGTGCAATATACGAGTATAAATTATAAATAAAATTTTTATATGAAATTTTTATGTAAAATTTTATATGAAGTAGATAAATTATATTATTATTTAGAGATTAAAACATGTCCACCAATTTCATAAACAGATATACCACGAACGTCCACTAAATGTCTGAAGAACGTAAAACGGATTATCTGTGGATATCCTCAATATTCTTAATGATCATCTTATGGATGTTCTTCGGATATTTGTGTGTTGTATGGGATATATATAGTATTCCTATATTGCTAGTTCTGTAGGAGGAATGAGCGAAAACATTACGGTCCAGACGATAGCTTCTCTCTCGTACGGTTAGTTGACGGTAGCACTTTGCGCATGCGTCATATGACGTATTAATACGCATGTAAATATAAATAAAATTTTTAATTTTAGATGAGGTAGATAAATTAATATTACTGATTAAAACAGTCAACATTACTAATTCTTTCAGTGAAATATTATTGATTTACAGTGCTATAATAACTTATAATTGCTGCATCAGTGACTTTGTCTACTGTTTTCAGTGATAATATACTGATTTATTTTTATAGAGAGTGTGAATGCATTATTTTATTCCATAAAAAATTCCATAAAAAAACAAAAGGCTTTCCGTTACGTTAATTATTTGATTTTGTTATTCGATTCGTTTTACTATACTTTTCAGCCTTCGCCTCCGAGCGATAATAAAAACATTTAAAAAATCATAAGAAAATTATTTAATGTGTGCTGCTAATGATTGAAACTCTTTGTAAAATGAAAGACTATTGTTCAGACTTTAGATTAATTTATACTTTTATGTAAATATCTTAATATTTTACAAAATGTTTCACAATGATATAATTATTTAGATACTTAATTATTGATTTTGAACATTTTATATATTCTATTACAGTTTTCATACAGTCTGAATTGCATTCTTTCATTTTATAAGTTTCAATCATTAACAGAGTTTTAATTAGCATTGTTAATTAATAGGAAATCTGTATAATAGATCTCGGTTTCGAAAATCGTGCAACGTTTTGAAAAAATACATTAAAAAATGTGATAATGCTTTCAACTTGCTTCCAACCGAGTGATCATTAAATCATGAAAAAATTAATTAATATTGTACAAAAACTATAATAGAATATACAAAACGTTCGAAAATCGATAAATTATCTAAATAACTATGTATGCCTGTATATATATAATGGATATCTTTTTATTATTTTCAGTAATACAAAGACTGGGATAATGCAGAGTACTTTTATATAAGAAAGATATTGCGCGTGCTAAATTATCCGTTAAATATTTTCACAGGAAAATATCACAAATATCATTCACCGTATAAATTTGATGACAATTATTGGCAATTCCAAGTAATATTTTATATTACATTTTATATCAATAAATAACACTTAATTATAAGTCAAAAATAATACGTACTTGTAAGTCTTAATAATATTTTAAGTTAATAATTAATACATTTTATAATCAATGAATGAAAATAACAAAGTTATTTTTATTTTCTTGTCTGCAATTGAAATTTGGTTTGTTTTTTTGATAACACACAGCATGATGATATATTTCAATCGTAAATTAGAATGTAATAAATATATAAATTATAAATGGAAATTTAATACCCCGCTCTCTTCCTGTTGCATTTATCTGATGAAGATATTGAATGGACATTGCAAAATCATTTATGGATTAAAGGTTACTACGAACAAATTACCAAGGTAATAGAGATAAGTTATTATTAAAGAATTATATATTATTATTAAAAAGAATGACACTGTTCTGCAAAATATTTAAGTAGATTATAATATTACAAATTAAAATATATTCTATTATATTAGATTAAAATATTTTAAAATATATAATATAATATTCTTATAAATATTATCTTTCAAAACATCTCTAAAAACAGAAAAATTTTTTATAATTATATACAAACGAAAAATCTAAAAAGAAAGTGAAGAAAAGTTGCAAGTGAATGATAGTTGTAAATTTAAAATTGTTATCTCTATCACGTCGATCTTAGATATAAGAGAGATTATTAACTTTTCAATTTTTCCTTCTAATTTTTAATTTTTTAATTTTTAACTTTTTGAAACAATTATCAAGCCATTTGAACAAAATTATGTTCGAATAAATATAAAGTTATAAATCTCAAAATATATAATTAAATGTTCCATAAATATTTTAATAAGAAACAGACTTTCTCTTTTCCAGTATGTAACATGGTTTCAGCAAATATAATATTAAAATATATATATATATATATATATATATATATATATAGCTAAAAAAATTCAATTATGTTTTCTTATCATTTTATTCAAATTAAAAATATAAACTTTAAAAAAAGTATTTATACAAATTTTATATGATGTACAGATGTTAAATATAGATTTAAAAATTATCATATTTCTTCATCTTCTAATCTTATATTATTAATCTTATCATAATTTTATCTTATATTATTTCTTTATCTTTTAATATGATTTTCTAATAAAATTTAAATTCAGAACAGACAGAATCAATTATCTAGAAATATTTTTCCTACAGTAAGATTTATTGGATCATTTGGAAAATAAACATTAATTTAATTATAATATCAGCTAAATAGTATCGACTGGACTCAGTAAGGCATCTTCTATGTTCTGTCTTAATGTTATAATATTGTTCAGACAAAATTCGAAATTTGGTCTAGCATCCGCTGCACTCCAGCAACGTAGCATCAACTGGTACAATGCTGACGGACAGTTAAGAGTCATCGGCAACCTGCCTCCATCAAGTACATAATTTATCACTTCTTCATTAGTCTTGGCACTATAAGGTTGCTCACTCAACGATGTAATTTCCCACATTAAAACACCAAATGACCAAACATCACTTTGAGAAGTAAATGTTCTGATCATCAAAGATTCGGGTGCCATCCAGCGAACAGGAAGCAAATCTTCTTCTCTCTAAAACATGATTTTAACAAAATTAAAACATTAAAACATTTAATTTTCTGATTCAAGTTGTTCATTTTTACAATATGTGCAAAAAGAAAAACGTTATCTCTTGCAATATATAAATAAAAACTATTTATATTCCATATTACTTGAAGAAACAATGCAAGATACTATTATTAAAAAAATGGAAAGTGTTTTCAAATGAATTCATTTTTTAATTTTTTTAATAATTGTATTTACCATGCGATAATAATCATCCTTGTAGATATCTCTAACTAATCCAAAATCTCCAATTTAATACGATTCTCGCGATTTCTCGAAGATACTAAACAATTGCGACACGCTAGATCTTTATGTACGAAACGCAATTCTTCCAAGTAGCAATAACCTCACGCAACATCTTCGTACATGGCGAACAAATCCTGCAAACGCAGAGCGTGCGAATCTGACGCTTCCAAATTTCGACAATCTCTCAAATATTTTGACAAATCACCAGTTTCCATTAATTCGAACACTAGAAACGGAGAAATCCCATCTAAACAAACGCCAACAATCTTAATATATGTTTGTGTCGAAAACGATTCATAAGCTCGGCTTCCTTTAACAATCTCTTTTTCTCATGGGAAGAAGCATCTTTCCGAAGCGTTTTTATTGCAACGAATATCTCTGTGCCCGAACTTTCTAAGTTTTTCACTTTTCCTTGATACACCTGCGAAATATTTCACACAAATTTACATTACGTACTTTATTAGAAAATGTATAGTTTAATGTCAAGTATATATTATATTTCATATTATATTTCACTTTATATTAAATAATTTAACGAAAAATATGTAATAAAGTTAATGTTTGTTGTCTCATCCATATTTTATATTACTTATAATCTATTATAAAAATTTATATAATTTCTTTTGTATCTTTATTAGAAAATACATATGTTTTGTTCATTTAGAAATTAATTTGAAACATTGCTTGAAAACATTAATTTTTACCATTCCGAATGCGCCGGTATCAATATGTTTTATAAATCTAATTTGTTTAAGTGCTATTTTAGTTATCGCACATTCATCCGGTAGAATCTCCAATTCTATATCGGTCATTGTTGAAGACAAAAATTGTTCATTATTACCTCTGCGTTGACGATACACTGTTATAAAATTTCGACTTAATTATGTAATAATATGTATTATAAAATTTTTCGTTTTTTAATAAATTTATTCGTTTACTTTTATATAAGTAAATTATTATTCTTAGTAAATTTTTATATATTATATCAGATATATATGTATAATCAACAATTCAAGTTGATACCAACATCAAATATACAATGCTTACAACAATAAAAGTAGTAGAGGCAGATTATAATATAAAATTATAATGATAATTATAATGATAAAACCTAACATCAATAATAAATAATATTTTTTCGCTATTATTCCAGGAGTGTCCGAAATATCTGTATTAAGCAAAAATATAATTTTAATATCTTCGTGTATGTTTTAAAAAATTTATTTTTACTTGTAACTTTATTACAAAAATTTAATTTCTTTAAATTTTAGGCCTATTCACATCTAAAAATATTAGTATATCATATTATAATATCTATGCAGCACAGAATGTTACAATTACTTTGCAACAATATTGCAATATCACAAATTGCAATGCAACATTACACAAACATTATAGAAATATAAATTAACAAAATATGAATTATTAGCAATGTAATATTGATTTTTTGAAACAATTGGGAAACTATAACACTCTTTAATTTATCTATAAAAATAATGTAATAATATATATTTTTATATTTATATATATGCGATGAATTTTACTTTTTTGCAGAAGTCAAACGAATTAATGACACAGAAATAATATTAGTCGAGTAAATACAATTCTAAGTTAAAGATAAACAGTTCTATTCTTTTATTAAAATATAGATAACATTTTATATCAATGTTAAAATATATTTTATGATATATTTTTACTTTATGTACGAATATGAAACGTATCTTTTTATTATATTAAGAATAGATATTTTTATATCTATCATTTTATTTTTCAATGTATTTTTATGTTTTTTCATACAAATAAATATAAATATAACGAATTTAAAAATTTTTAAATAAAAATATAATTAGTAATTTTAAATAATTATATATATATTTTCAATGTATTTTTATGTATACAATAATATAATATAAGAATTAAAAATAAAAAAAATATAATTATAATAATAATAAAAAAAAAAAAAAAAAAAAAAAAAAAAATATATAAAATATATATATATATAAAGTACCCATTATAAGAGTATATAGAACATTTAAAATAAAAAAAATGATTCGTAAGTAAGAGTATAAAGTAATTTTGTATAAAATCATTTTATATGATTACGTTTAAATATAATTTTGCAATATATTATCTTAGATATGATTATCTTAGATATTGCAAACTTCTATTTATATCGAGCTTATTAATTTAATTATATGTTTTCAAAATATTTATCTATCAAAAACAAAAATATTTTATACGTAATATTATTAAATGATTGTAATAATATTGCATTCTTCTTTTCAATATATTAAACTGTAATATTGCTACAATGTATCATTGCAAAGAGCGAACATCTTAACTTTATCACATCTTATAACAATGACTCAACAAAAGTTTCGCAATCAATTTGCAATGTTTCAATGAAATTATTCTTTAATATATCTACAATCTTATTGTGCTGTATGGGCATTTTCATTTGCTTACCACGTTTGCTATCACCTGTTGAAAAATTAAATCTTTCATCAGCTGGCCATGTAAAATTTTCCTCATATTCGAGATATCTCAATATCAAGCGAAACTGGTATGAAGTCCCCGATTGTAAATTTTTGATATGGTATATTACTTCTTCGTTATAATTCGTTCTAATATCATTCGTTGTTTGCCACTTTTTTGTTGAAATGTTTTTATACTCTAGTGCTGAAGAGATCGTCAGATTGACGTTTGAGATCCATGAAATGTTCATGCTATTTGTGTTGGCCTCGCTCATAGTAATATTGTTTGGTTCTGAGTATATGTGATCGATCTTGCTTAAACTCTCGTTGTAGAAATCGCTGAAATTACTTGGATACACACGCACATATATCAAGTAATCTTGTACTGGTAGCGACAAGTTAATCTTTGTGAAAAATCTGCCATCTGCCACACGTTTCGGCACATAGATAAATTGTTTATTCTCTTGTTGCGTGTCATTCACTAACTTCCAATGCACTTCATATACAACCACGCAGTTCAATTTCTTGGGTGGCATCCAATGAACTACTACTATAGTAGGCGTCAAAGCTAAAACACTTATGTTTTCTGGTGCATTAAGCTTACCCAAATTAGTTTTTATTTGTATCACGTTCGAATCGAACGGATTTATTGATAATTGATGAAAGTAAAAATTACTTAAAGTAAACTTCAACTTGTACTCTGTAAATGGTGTAAAGTTCTGAATCTTGTAATGTCGCTCGCCTGTCAGCACATTGAATTCTTCAGACTTGTTGAGATTGTCGTCTACACAATGATTTACAAAGATAGTATATATAGTAGTTGGTAAATTATATTTTTTGCATCTCCTCTTTACAACCGACTCCGATAAATTTACAATGATGCTGTTTGCCGTTGCAGTCACATTCTCAAAATTATAAACTTTTTCGTCAGGTGTCAGACATCTCATTGGAGGATATGGTTGTAAATATTTATTAAAAGCGTAAATATTATAAAATTTATTTTTATCTGAGCTTATTAATATTTTTTCAACATATTCGTTTGCATTTACGCTCTTGAGACTTGCGTATTTCTTTTTCAAAATGTAGAGAATATATTGGAGCGAATCAATTGCTAAAATGTAAATGTTTGTTTTATCAATCGTCATAGATTTGAAATTGATGTTATCACCTACGTTTTTCTTGTATAAAATCGTATTGCACATAGAAACGTTAATGTCTGTTACAGTTGTGTAATTCTCACTTAACCAGTAAATTAACGGCTCCTCATTATTCATGTTATCAATTATCATATCACGAAAAAAATCTATATAATGAAATAGGCAAAAGGATGCATTTATCTGAACAATTTGTTCGTTTTTTCCATCGAGATAATATTTCATCATATCATATTCTCGATTCGTCCGATTGTATGATATGTGATATAAAATTCTAAAAAAGATATAATTATTTTACTCACTTTTATAAAACATTATTTTAACAAAAACAGAAATTTATATGTGGTAAAAATTCGAAATTCTTATAATTATATAACTTATTATTTTTTTTTACTTATAATCTTAATTATAAAACCACGTAAAATTATAGAAAAATTACAAATTTGCATAAATCTTTAATAGAAAATTATTTTTTTGGCGAACCGTCGTAAACGATAGTAAACGTACCCCATAAACGGTGATATACTTAAATAACCATTATCAATTTTTGATTTGAAAATCTCATCAAGTTTAATTATGCCATTTTCCCACAATGTTAAGTCGAACTTTACAATGTAATAGTAGTCTGACTTTGAATAGGTCCAATATAGATTTCTTGCTACCCAATCAATGCAGAGAGCATGTAGATCATAATCAAATGTAGCTATTTTTGTAATGTTATTTTCATTAATTAGTGTTATTAGATCTCTTTCGAAGATCCAATAAATTCTATGTTCTTGTATCGAATAAGCGGCATTTATTACTGATCTGAAAAAAGGAGTCAACTATAATTGTATAATAAAAAAATTATAATTGAGATTTTTAATTTTATAGTTATTATTACTATAATATTGATAATAAACTTGTACTTGTAGTAATATAGTAACTTTAACTTTATAGTGTCAAGAATAATTTAATAGTTATAAGCATTTTTTATCAGTATACGGACTTATCATATAGATAATTATCAAAGCTAGCTATTTTTGTGATTTTATTTTTATAAATCTTCCTCGATGTTACATGTTCGGGGCCTTCTCTTTGGCTTGTCATCTTAATTTTTATTGATCTGAAAAAAGAAGTCAACTGTAATTGTTTAGTAAAAAAATTATAGTTGATATTTCTAATTATAGTTGAGATTTCTTGAGATTTATTTTAGTTTAAATTTAAGTTTAAATTTTAGTTTTTTCTTTAATAGTTAAGATTTCTAATTTTAGTTATTATTACTATAATGTTACTATTATAACTATTTTAGTTATTACTACTATAATGTTGATAATAATAAACTTGTGCATAATAATAATAATTTTAACTTTATAGTTAGTGCTAAAAATAATAGTGCTAAAAATAATTATAATTATTTTTTTTATCAGTACCTTTTGGAAGTAAACCTAGTTTCATAAATAAAAGACACTATGAAATTAGTAATGTTTAAATCCACGTCCCATATTTGGATACCTAGAGACGTTGTTACTAATAATTTAGGTATTGGATTTTCATGTGTAGTCGACACATTGATTATATCCGTGTAAGGCCCAGCAACAATTTTAGTATGCGCACGTACTCGAAAATAATATGTCATGTTAAATGTTAGATTATGAACCATGTGCTCTAATTCTATAGTTGTGATATTTTTATCCACGCAGATTTGAATCTCTTTTAAATCCTCGATGAAAAAACACTGCACCGTGTATCCTACTATTTCATCGGTAAAGTTAGGTTGGTTCCATCTATAAAAAAATAACATTTCAGTCTTTTTATGTTTAGTAAAATTATAACAGAATTAACATTTTGATATATTTATGTCGTTGAATTTAGGAAAAGAGAGAAAAATGAAAAAATATAAACTGATAATTTAGATTCTTTACCTCAATGTCACAAAAATGTCGTTTACTTTTTCTGTGAATTGACTGTCAAATTGTACAAATGCTCTGAGAGATGTTGGCTTGTCCAAATTGTTTTCTAGAGTAGATTGTACATATTAACATAGTTATATTAATAATTATGTGGATATCTCAGTAAATCAGAAAGAACAATTTAATGTGAAAATAAAGGAAAGAGAAAAAATAAATCTAAATTACAAAATATGAAAATTAGCACAGTATTGATTTAAAAAAAATAAAATAATATGAAAAATTTTCGCGTCATTTAAGACTTAGAAAAGTAATTGTTAATACATAGCAAAAATGAATAAATAACTTTTAATAAAATGACAAGTACTTTTCGAAAAATTTCTACAATTTAAGAAATCAGGAATATAATATTTGTGATTGTTTTAAAACCAAGTAGCAAATTAATCAAATTGACTTTACCTTAAATCATAACAATTTTTATGTATAATGTTATGTTTATATTATGCCTTTTTATTTCTTTTTTCGACAAAATAGAATTTATATTTTTTTTCACTGCTGGCAGATATTTTTAAATTTATTTCCACTCTCTCTTAAATTTAAATTGTATTTACACTTTTCGTCATAGATTATGTTATTAATGTTTGATGCATTTTTTTGTAACTTACCGATAGATTCTGGGATGATAGAAATATTTGCAAGTGTAACTTCATCGACTTCTCGCTCATTTCTCACAGTACTATCAGAATGACTCCGGTCAAATTTGAAATTTAGTAAACGATGATAATTTTTCTCGGACATTGAAATATGCTTCATAAAGTGTAACATACGAAAAGAATTATAAAATGAATATCGTTGAAGCGGTTGTTTCTGGTGCTTTTAATGATAAATTATATAAATTATAACATTAAACGAAAAATTACAATTCGTTTTTTGTTTGCTTAATAATTCCGGTTTGATATAAACCATTCCTAAATGATATATATTCAATGCGAAGTAGTTTTATTCATATTGTAAACTCTATTTTTTATTTTTTCTTTAAAACATCTTGTATATCAAACATAACTCATATCAAAAAGTAAATCAATCAATATAGATTAACAAGAGTCAATGAGGATTCATAACAGCTTTTAGCAAGTAGTAGAAGCGAAAGTGTAGTTCTTTGCAATTATTAAAACAATTTTGTCTATCGATTTGATTCTTTTTTATGATAGGTTAGTTAACTTTTCTCAATTTTATCATAACTTAAATTTCTTTTCAAAAATTTGCTGATATTACTAAAGTTTTATTAATGTTTGTACTACAAGCATAAAAAGGTTAAAAATATTGTTTCTTTACAGTTATTAAATATTAGTCATAGAAATTATATATATTCTTTTATTTATATCCTTGTCAAGATTTTTCTCAAGTGTCGTTATGTTTTTAACAATCAAATCCTGAAAATGATAATATAAACCGATAGTATGTATAAATCGATAATGCCTCGATAAGAATATGTGCATGTAATTGTATATGAATGAATATATGTACAATGAAAATTAATATAAATTCTAGCAATTGTTATCGAATGTATTGTCGATCGAAATATTAACGTTAATAGATACAATTTGAAGAATGTTTGATGAACGATTTTTTTATTAGACAGATTTTCTATCTCGATATTTAGCTCTGCTTCGTTCTATAATTACTCTTAACACAAAGAAATGATGCTAACTTTTTAAATTAATTTTTTTAAATAAAATCTACTTAAATCTTACTATATATTAATAAATATTATAAAATAAAATCTACTTAAATCTTACTATATATCAATAAATATTATAAATATTATAAATATCTAGAAAGATAAAGAAATTTTAGAAACTGAACAAAAATAACATAAAAATCTATTGAAGTGTCATCGTATGTATATATTAATGTAGCGAATAGTAGAAAACTTCATTAAATTTAAAAATTCTTATTTTTGGAAATAATTATTATATATATAATTATATATATATATATATATATATATATATATATATAGAGAGAGAGAGAGAGAGAGAAAGAGAAAGAGAGAAAATATATAGTCAAATTTTATAATATTGTTTTAATTAAATTCAATATACTATATAACATTTATTTGTAAACAAAATTTCGAAACATTATCCATCTGTTTTTCACAACATCATATATATTTTTTATTTTTATATTGAATTGTTTTATTTTATCTTATCTTATTATATAGATAGAATATATAATTTATTCATTCATTTTTAATCACACTACTAGCTGCAATAACATTCAATTGCTTCTTAGTGAAGCGAAAAATATCTCCTACCTGCGTGGAATTTAAATCTCACATGGACACATGGAATCACTTTCTTCCTGAAGGATGTTTGAACTGTTATCATTCTTCGGCGTGATAGTTGCCTTTGTCAATTTTAAACCTTTCATTAAAACATATAAAATTATTCCAAACATAATTTGCATTTTTGATAAACGTTTGCACTCAATCGATTTCCGTTCAACCCTCAAGTAATTGTTTTTTTCACTCTACTAATGCTGATGTGTTAATCAAATTGATAATAATTCACATAGATACATATATTTTCGATAAATTCTTTAAAAGTCAGTTTTAACGAATCGCAAGTTATTATCTTCTAATATTATGTTTTTATGATCACGATCAGAGTATATATCTTAAGATTAAATTAGAGAATTCTTAATAAGTAAATAATTTCTATGGTACATATTCATTGGATTGTATCGCGAATACAGGAATATAATTATTATTAGCTTTCTTTTTTCATTAATAGAAACGCAGTCAATAAAAAGATAATCATAATCAAATTACAAACGATCTAAGAAGTTATAGAATTATAGATCTTATAACATTTTCAGCCATTATTTAAGCACACGCAGCGTATAATCGAATTCACTTCAATATTTGCTATATCTGTTATTAAATATGTAATTATGACAATTCGTTCGTACGATTGTGTTACTATGTGTTATGTTTTTTAAAATCCACTATTCATACACAATTACACGGTTTCTCTAAACTTCATATAATGCTGTTTAAATCAAGCGATAAATAACCGTAATGGTAGCGTTTGGCTAGCGATCACAGTAGTAACTGACTTCGAATGGTCAATCCGATCTGTTACTATGACATTTTATTAGCTCCATTCCGTTTGTAATTTATTTTTTTCCGCGAAGATACTCGTTATGTCAAAAGAAATTTAAATCCTTAAGAATTGTTTGTCAAAAAATTTATATATATAAGATAAAGTTATATACAGGGTGTCCCATTTTAATCGATGATCCCGAATAACTTTTTTAATTTTGATTATAGGAAAAAATGTTTCAGACAAAAGTTGTATGGCTTGAAAGGGGACATAAGGTGGTATCATTGGTTTTATTTTTAAAAGTTGTTTGAGAGTCACATGAAGGCTACCTTCAATTTTTTAAATGGAACTCCCTATTTTTTATTACTTATTCTTGTAGCTTATCTTGAAAGCTTTTCAAAACACTATAATAAAGTATTTCTTCATTGAGTACTTTTCGAGTTATGAGGCTTAAAATCATTTTTTAATTTTACATAAACCATAAAATATCTAGTAAAATATTCATTTTTCGATTATCCTACCTTAATACTTTTATGTACAAAATAATGAAAGGAATCAATTGCTGTAAAGAAAACACATAATTATTTCGAAGAAAAAATATGTAATTTGCAATTAACAATTCCATATTTTTTCTTAAAAACAACTGTGTTTTTCCTTTACACCAATTGATTCCTCTCATTATTTTGTACATAAAAGTATTAACCTTCAATTGACCAACCGGGTACCCGGGTACCCATTTCGTGCTTTTTGTTTCAATTTCGATATGTTCCACTTAAAATAGCGTTAAAAGGCTTTGGATCCTCGTTATTTGGACAATTTTACGTAAATTTAACCATTTATTTAAAAACATTTTAGGAGAAAATTTTGAATTTTTGATCGTCAAAGTTGACTAGCCCGTTATTGACCAGCCGGGGTACCCGGGTACCCATATACACATTTTATATAGAAAGGACAGGAAAAGGAAATATCTTATATACATATATGATATTTTTAGATAGATAAAAGACAATTGATTTATACATATGTTAGAAATAATATAAGTGCTTTATATAAATACGGTTTTTGAGTTTTTATTCTTTTTCGTAACAAATATTACATTTACTTATCATTTTACAGTGTTCGTTGCAAATTGGTTTGCAACATTCGGCACAATTTTTTCTTGTTTTCCTTCGCTTTCGAATTTGTATAATTTTCTCTTTTTAATGCTCAATCTATAAAAACAATATATCTTTTTATTCCGTAATACTAATTAATAATTTTTCATACATATTACTCTCACCTGTTGTAACGTTTTGTTGTCATTTTATTGATATTTGTTATAACAAATATGATATAACACCAAATTTAATAGCACCAAAATAAATACTAAAATATAATATATTCTGCTGTAATTATTCGAGCGCATCAAACTTCCTAACGCCTTCTCGAACGAACGTTTTAAGACTGAACGACACGACCAGGCGCGACTATATACACGTTAAAACGAGTTTCGACAGGCAAGACAGGGAATGGGAACCCTAACAGCTGCGCATTCTATTGTTCGAAAACGCGGGAAGCCAGAAAGTAAGACCAAGAACCCATTTACAGACTTTATATACCTGCAATGTAAGAAATTCTATAGTGGGTACCCGGGTACCCTGGTTGGTGAGATAGAGTGCAACTTTTGGTTGGTCAATTGAAGGTTAAGGTAGGATCGAAAAATAAATATTTTACTAGATATTTTACGGTTTATGTAAAATTAAGATATTATTTCAAGCCTCATAACTCGCAAAGTATTTAATGAAAACTAACTTAATTATAGTGTTTTGGAAAGCTCTCGAGATGAACTAAAAAAATATGCAAAAGCATACAGGGTGTCTCATTTAAAAAGTTGAATCTGACCTTCACGTGACCTTCAGGTGACTCTTCAATGTCAAACTAAAGACACCTTCTTATGTCCCTCTTCAAACCATACAACTTTTGTCTGAAACATTTTTTCCTACAATCAAATTTAAAAAGTTATTTGGGGTCATCAATTAAAATGGGACACTCTGTATATTGTTACGGCCGCGGCGAGGATTTCGATAGATATCGAAGGCGCGTTAAAGAGATCAGCCGCTCGCGAGACGCACGAAATAAATAAATACTTTTAAAAGGAACTAAGAACTTTAATGCACAACACAGAACACAGAAGCGTAACCACAGAACGTTAACACACAATAATAATAACACGGATCGGCTCGATAGAAATGCGCGTCCGCTCAGCTTGACAGCTGGTTCCAGACTCAAATGATAGACACTGCTATCAACAACCTTTTGACAACGGGCTTCTTTTCTTTTCAAACCGGACTCGATCCCGACTCGAACCAGGGACGTAACACTTGCCCTCTTCTCGAAAGATTGTCGTCCCGACAATCACGTTGTGGCAAGTTTTCTTAGGAATCTCGTCGAATTACAGTTCCCGATGTGTCTCCTTGTTCTTCCTGAACTACTGTTGCAGGTTACCGAACTGCACATCTACTTGGGATCAAACGACTTCACTGATTCCAAAAATCTTTTCCACAGAGAAAAATCTTCAGACAAGAGGGTGGGGGGGGGGTATCTTCCCGTGGACCCTCCGTTCTCCCAAGAGAACTCCTCAGGCCCCTGCCTCGGCATTTGCCCTAAGACCCACGGGAAAACCACGGGTCAAAAACCGTGGGTGAAGCAGCCTAAATCCCTTCTGGTTATGGTCCACTCAAAAAATTGATCTTGCAACTATAGCAAAAATTTTCTAGGTGC